TGGGGGGGGGGGGTGCTCCAAGAGCTGAACTAATTAAAAGCCCCCAGAGCATCATGTGCATCAGTGCCTCCGCAATGAAAAATGGCAGCATGGTGCTTTGAACTGAAGTTTATCAAACAAGCTTTAGTTTAAAGTGCCCCTGCCACCATTTTTCAGCACAGGGATGCTGATACATGTGAATCTGGAGTCTCCTGGAGTGTGGTAATTACAGAGCTCTGTAATTACAGAGCGTTGGAGCAGTTACGGAGCATCCCTGCACATGTATAAGCCTCTGTGGCATTCCTCTAACCCTTTACTTGTCTATGGCCCTTTAACCTCTCTTTACTATGTTGGAGGCAGGAAAAAAAGCCATCATTATTTATATATTGATGTCCACACTTCACTAATTTATTCCTTTTGTGTCCTTTATGTCAACTTCATACTGAATCCTATATGTACCCTGGTGATAGCAAAATTGTGGAGTACAAATAATTTGATGGAGCCCAAGATAAGCAGGCTTCCTCTATGGGTCCCCCAGAGGAAAACTATGGGCCAGATCCTATTTATGCTTCATGTGCATAGTGTCAGGTTTGTAGCTGCATTACTTCAGTTTTTTGGCACTTACACATAGTTTAGGATTCAGTAATGTTCATGGAAGTCTCCTGAGCATGGTCAGCTGGGCTGTGCTACAGCCAAGCAGCTGCCCAGGGAAAACCTGGGCAGACATGTAAAGCTGAACAAGTCCCCATGTGGGAAGATCCTCCTACCTTTTAGCCCAGTGGTTAGGTCTCTTGCCCAGGGAATAGAGAACTCCCATTTTAAGCACCCCTCATCCAGAGGGGGTTTGAACCTTCTTGTCCTGCTTCTCAGTAAAGTACTCTAACCACCAGGCCACAAGCTAGGCATTAGACACGGTCCCCTCTCCAGATGTCCTCTTGGATCTGGGCCATTAAGATGCAGCCAAGAGAAGACGTGTTCCAGAGCATTTGTGGCCCAGTGAGCTGGATGCTGCCCTGGAAAGGATCTGGGGCTCTGAGTTAGGTCCATCTTCCCAGTGGGGAAGAAACCTACCCAGTATTTTTTTATCAAATTGATATTAATTGGAAAATAAAAGCAAGCCAACTTTGAGAGAGAGGTCCAGGCAATGTCAAACCCAGGTGTTCTCAACCTTTTTAAACTCAAGGCACCTATGAATAGACTCAAAGCACCCGTCAGTACATTCCAACTATCAATTTTCACCCTTTTTTTTACTCCAAAAAAAATAAAGCAGTTTTTCTGTTGTAAATATGTCAGAAAGACCACAACAATGGATTTCTTTTGTAATCTCTGGGTTTATCTTGGGAACTATGTTTGTAAATCAAGCAGTCTTAATATTGTGTGGCAACCTGGACATCCTTGAAAGAATCTCAAGGCATCCTAGGATGCTGTGGCACCCTGGTTGAGAAGCACTGGTCTAGCCTGTGGCTGTGTGGTTAGAGAGAAGTTTCGGTCTCCTCTGGGACAGAGGGTCTACAACCTTGATTTTTTTACTTTCTGGGTAATGGCCTCAGCCACTGCATTACCGGGCTGAGGTAAGAGTGTCCAGGCTGGAGTGTCCTAGGCCAGGGGTGGGCAATTATTTGGCCTGGAGGGACACTTAAGCAGTTTTGGTGAGTTATCATGGACTTCGTCAGCACCCCTTTCCCTTGGCCCCCTCCCCTTGGCCTGCATCAGCTCACTAAAACTCCTTAAGAGTCTCTCCAGGTGTTGTGGGTGCAGGGCAGTCGGGGCCAAGGTACTCCGGCAGCAGGACTGGGTCTGGTAGCCTCAACGGAGACTGGCAGCAGCAGCTGTAAGGAGCTGCCAGTGCAGGGGCTGCTGGGAAGTGACTCAGGCCACCATGCCACCCCAGCCCCACTGCGTGCCCAGGAGCGGCAGGACCAGCTGCACGCACCATGGCCTGGGCTGCTCCCCACACCTGGGCCAGGCTGGGCTGCTACAGGCTGGATAAAATCCCTTGGTGGGCCAGACTGTGCCTGCAAGTTGTATTTTGCCCACCCCTCTTTTAGGCAGTGTGATTCTATTTCCACTAGGAGGAAACAGGGTCCCAAACTGTGCAAAAATGTCCAGTTTCCCAAAACTGCAGCTTTGTGGATCTCCACCTGCTAGTCAGGCATGTGAAGAGCAAATAGGATGTGGCCCTAAGGGACTTAACCTTAAGATTGACATAAGATGTCAGTGGCATGAAACGGAACTCAAGCCACCCACTTTCCAGGCTAGTACCTTTAGCATCAGGCTAAACCTACTTCCTCCACAGTTTGCTGACCCACTTGATGGGTCTAGCAGATCCCAAGCCTCATTCCTCCTGCTACTTTTGTCACTATGATCTACATCAGCTGCTCCACTTCCTTTGACTGAGCCATGCAATGGGCTCACTGCAGTTGCTTGACAGAGTTGCAGGCACGTGTCACTAAATAGGTATTTTGAGAGCTGTTATGTTCACTGCTCAAACACAGGTGCGAAATGTAGGTGTTGATGAATTGTGGCAAAAAATAATATTCAGACATTCTTCTCTCACCCTCTCCCCTCTGCTTGCTCCCACATTAGAAGACAGAAAATAGATACCTCGGAGATCTCATTTTCTCTTGCATTAGTTGTAAGTAACATTTTCAAAGGTGTGTAATGGAGCTATTTCTGATTCACATGGATGTAACTAAGAGGAGAGTCAGGCTCCCTGAATAACATATTTGTATTTATACAAACCAAGCATAAAAAGCCAAGTCATCAAAAAATAGGAAATTGATCATTCAGAGGCATGCTGTTATAAGGAGAACAAAGTTATAAGGCATTCATATTTAAATAGCCACTTTTTACA